GCTGACCCCTCAGGGGGCCCGGTTCTTGCACGTTCCTCCACTGTTCTCCCGTGTCCGGCGGTTCCGTCTGGCTCACTGTCAGGTCTTCACCTCCCCTCGTTCTCTACGAACTTGGTGAGTACCGCTGCCCTCCAGGATGCGATGGTCACTACCACCACTCCTGGGGGTCAGCGTGTGTCGATCTGCACGTGTGCACGGACGGGCCGTCACCTGGCCACGTTCACCCGTCGGCCTGGATCGAGCCTATACACACTGAATACTGAGCCTACTCAGGTGGCTGCGTCTAGTCAGGCATCCACGTCAGGTCAGGTAGCCGCCCCCTGTTCGTGTCGTCTCCTCTCACACCAGACTCTCCTCTGGAACCACCGCCTTGGTCACCCCTCCCTGCCACGCCTGCGTGGCATGCACTCCCGCCTCCTTGTCTCTGGTCTTCCCAGGTCTCTGCCTCCCCTCCCGCCCTCGCCTGCCCCGGCCTGCCTTCCTTGCGTCGAGGGGCGGCAGCGCGCCGCTCCTCACTCCTCGTTTCCCCTGACGATTGCTCCCCTGGAGACTCTCCACATGGACGTGTGGGGCCCAGCCCGTGTCAGTGGACAGGGCCGCGAGCGCTACTTTCTACTGGTTGTTGACGACTACACGCGCTACACCACGGTCTTCCCCTTGCGCAGCAAGGAGGAGGTCCCTGATGTCTTGATCCCTTGGATCCGTGCAGTCCGTCTCCAGCTCCGCGAGCGGTTCCGCGAGGACCTTCCTGTCATGCGTCTGCACTCTAACAGAGGTGGTGAGTTCTCCTCCAACCTCCTGCGGCACTTTTGTTGTGGGGAGGGCATCCTCCAGTTGTTCAAGATTCCGGCCTCCCCGTAGCAAAATGGGGTTGCTGAGCGCCGCATTGGCTTAGTCATGGAGGTGCTCCCCATTTTCTGTGGCCGTTTGCGGTCCGGTACACTGCGCATCAGCTCAACCTCTGGCCCCATGTCTCCTACACTGCGTTGGACGGGGGAGGTTGGCGATTTTTCGGTGTTTCGGGTCTGGGGTTGTCGTGCATTTGTCCGCGATACCTCCGCGGACAAGCTCTCCTCCCGCGCCATTCTCTGTGTCTTCCTTGGCTTTCCCCCTGACGCGCATGGCTGGCAATTTTTCCACCCCACCACGCGCCGTGCCCTGCCCTCTCAGGACGTCACTTTTGACGAGTTGGTTCCCTTTTACTGTCTCTTCCCCTATCGCACTGCCCCTCTCCCCCCCCCCCAACGCTCTTCCTCTCTCTAGGTCCCCCTTCGGTAGACCCCCTCCCCCCTCAGGGTCCTGCTCCTTCAGGTGTTTCTCAGGTAGACCCACTCCCCTTGGGTGAGCCTGTCGAGGTTACTATCGACTCTAGTGCTGCTGGGGGTGGTGCTGCTAGGGGTGCTGCGTCTGGGGGTGCTGAGCCTGCAGGTGCGGAGCCTGGGGGTGCTGACCCTGAGCGTGCGGAGCCTGGGGGAGCCTGAAAGTGCGGAGCCTGAGGGTGCTGAGTCTGAGGGTGCGGAGCCTGGGGGTGCTTAGTCTGAGGGTGCGGAGCCTGGGGGTGCCGAGTCTGAGGGTGCGGAGCCTGGGGGTACTGAGCCTGAGGGTACTGAGTCTGGGGGTGCTGAGCCAGAGGGTACTGAGCCTAGGGGTACTGCGTCTGCTGGAGGTCCTACGGGTGCCTCGCCACAGCAGTCTCGCCGGCAGGTGCCTCTCTCACCGTGGCAGCTGTGCGATTGGTTTGCTCGGCGCACCCGCCTTCGGAGGGGCGCTACTAGAGCTGGAGGCCCTGCTGCTGGAGGCACTGGAGTTGGAGGCGCTGGAGCTAGGGGTACCGGAGGTGCTGGAGCTGCTGGTCCTGGAGGTGCTCGTACTGGAGGTACTGGAGCTGCCAGTGTTGGTGGTGCAGCTGGTGCTGGAGGTGCTAGAGGTGCTGGAGCTGGAGGTGCTGGAGCTTGAGGCACTGGAGTTGGAGACGCTGGAGCTGGAGACGTTGGAGCTGGGGGCACTGGAGCTGGAGGCGCTAGAGCTGGAGGCGCTGGAGCTAGAGCTGGAGACCCTGGAGCTGGCGGTGCTGGTGCTCGAGGCCCTGTAGCTGGAGGTGTTGGCGCTAGGGGCGCTGCAGCTGGCGGTACTGGTGCTGGAGGCACATTGTGAAGCGGCGACCGTTTTTCGTTCCACCGCCGCCGCCGTCTCTGCCGCCACATGGCTCGGTACTTCGCCAGGTTCTTAGTCTCCCGTCTTCCACTGGACTTACTCCTCCCTTTCTGTGTCCACCGCCTCACCAGTCGCAGCCACAGTTACAGCCAGAATCCCACTGCCTGCTCCTTCTCCTTACACTGAGCAGACGGACTCTCTTACAGAGCGTCGTGAGCCTGCGTCTCGTCCTGCCTCGCCTGTTCGCGCAGTTCGCACTGGTCCCCGTGTTCCTCGTCCGCGTCCTCCTCCTGTTGACTTTGCTGCTGCGTGTCATCTCGACTGCGTCGCTAGTCTTATTGCTGAGTCTGGGTCTGACTATCCTCCGTCCGTCACGGGTGAGTGTGCTCTTGGCACGGACGTCCTTGAGGACAGGCAGGAGGACTTTGGGTGTCTTGCAGCTGCTGTACCTCATCTTGTGGCCATGCTGCTTGCACCTGAGCGAGACCCAGATGCACCAGACATCCCGAACCCGCGCTCTTACGCAGAGGCGATTATGGGTCCATACTCCTCTCAGTGGGAGACAGCCATGGACGCAAAGATGGCATCCTGGAAGTCCACAGGCACCTAAGTCAACACAGTTCCCCCTCCTAGGGCGAACATAGTCGATGGCATGTGGATTTTCAGGGTGAAGCGACTGCCGGGTTCTCCGCCTGTCTTCAAGGCTCGTTATGTTGCACGAGGCTTTAGTCAGCGATAGGGAGTTGACTTCTTCCAGACCTTCTCCCCTACCCCAAAGATGACCAGTCTTCGGGTGCTGCTGCACGTCGCCGCTCAGCGTGACTATGAGCTTCACTCTCTTGACTTCAGCACAACTTTCTTGCAGGGCAGCCTGCACGAGGAGATCTGGCTGCGCCGCCCACCTGGCTTCACTGGGTCGTTTCCTGCAGGTACCCAGTGGAGCCTTCGGCGGCCAGTCTACGGTCTCCGCCAGGCGCCTCGCGAGTGTCACGACACACTGAGGACTACGCTTGCGGCCCTTGGGTTTGCTCCTTCGACAGCTGACCCGTCGTTGTTTCTGCGCACCAACACTTCGCTGCCGCCGTTCTACATCCGCGTGTACGTCGACGACTTGGTTTTTGCCACTGCTGACACTGAGGCACTGGCCCTTGTGAAGTCAGAGCTGCAGAAGAGACACACGTGCACAGACCTGGGTGAGCTGCGCAGCTATCTTGGCTTGTAGATCACCCGTGACAGAGCACGGCACACCATCACCCTGACTTAGTCACACATGGTGCAGCAGGTCCTTAAGCGCTTCGGCTTCCGGTTCTCCTCGCCACTGTCCACTCCTCTGCCTACCGGTCACTCGATCTCAGCTCCACCTTCGGACGAGTCAGTAGAGCCGAGTGGCCCGTATCCAGAGCTTGTGGGTTGCCTCATGTACCTGATGACCTGCACTCGGCCTTGCCTACCCTCTTAGCATCCTAGCACGCTATGTTGCGCCCGGGAGACACCGACCAGAGCACTGGGAGGCCGCTAAGAGGGTGTTGCGCTACTTTTGCAGTACGTCGGGCATGGGGCTCGTGCTTGGAGGACAGGGTCCAGTTGTCCTCATTGGACACGCAGACGCGTCTTTGACGACTTGTCTACGCAGCGGTCGTCACAAGGTTACACTTTCAGCCTTGGCTCCGGCACTGTTTCTTGGCGGTCTACCCACTCGTCTTCTGTTCTCAGTTCTAGTTGTGAGGCCGAGATCTACGCAGGGGCCATGGCTGCACAGGAGTTACGCTGGCTCACCTACCTGCTGACCGACTTGGAAGAGCGGCCTCGTTCTCCTCTAGTTCGTTAAGTAGACAACAAGGTCATGATTGCCTTGTGTCAGGAGCATAGCCTGGAGCACAGGACAAAGCACGTCGCTCTGCATTACTTGCTCGAGAGTTGCAGCAGCGTTGTCAGCTTCGTCTTGCTTACGTGGCCACTCGGGCCAACACTGCTGATATATTCACCAAGGCACTTCAGCATGGTGATCATCAGCGTTTTTGTGCTGTTTTAGGCCTTGTGGCTGCTTTGCCTCACTTGCTCACTTCGTGACTTTGCTTGTACTGTGATCTATATACATATATACTTGCATGCAAACACTTGCTAGGTTATGATCACTGCACTGTTTGTTCTCTTTTATATAACTCTGCATGTGAACTGGCCTTGTGGCCATTTGCTTGTGCTCGGAATGTGTAGTGACTTCTTGATCCACCCTGAGCTTGCTTTGGCTTTTCTTGACTGGTCTTGTGACCTTCTGTTCTCCCCCCACTTTGCCTATGGGGGTGTGTCAAAATGTTATGATGCTTATATTGTGTAGGCTGTAGTGGGGTGGCCCATAAGTGGTACAACCCAATTAGGGTTACTACTTCTACCCACTTTGATTTTAGTTCATCTATTGTGAAAACGAGGTCTCCACCTGCAAAACGTGAAATATGTCGCAGGTAGCACAGGGAAGTGTCGCTCGGTTCTTGCGCAACCACTCTTGGCCGTGGTGAGCAGCTAGAGCGACAGCCATAGCTTAGAAATTCTAGGCTTCCAGGAAAATCCAGCGCATGTCGGAAATGTCCGCCTTAGGACTTTAGGACCGGGACTCCGTTATTGCAAGGTGTCGCTAAAGCCAAACGCGGTCCTAGGTCACGTTTCCACGTTTCCCTACGGTGTTCTAGCTAAAGCCGTCGTGGATGAAAACTCCTTCCCGTCGCCCACGCGCACTCCCCTCGAAGGAGCACGCACACTCCCTTCCGTCACCCTCGCGCACTCCATTCCGCTGCCCACGCTCAAGACCTTCCCGTCGCCCACGCTCACTCCCTTTCCATCGCGATCGCGCAATGGTACCGTCGCCCACGATCAGTCACTTCCGTCGCCCACGATCAGTCACTTCCGTCGCCCACGCTCACTCCATCCCGTCGCCCACGCTCACTCCCATTCCATTGCCTTCGCGCAATCCTTCGATCGCACACGCGAATCCCCGCTCGTCGCACACGGCCTATTCCCTCCCGTCGCACACCGCCTCTCCCATCTCCGCCTCACCCATCTCCGCCTCACCCATCTCCTCCTCACCCATCTCCTCCTCACCCCAGCTCAGTCTGCGCGCACTCCCTCCCTACTTCCCATCCCCTTTTCCTCGTTTCCCCATCCCTCATTTCCCCATCCCATCATTCCCTCTGCCTCCGTCTGCCATCCTTCCATTCCCCGTGCCTACTTTCACCATTCCACCATACGGTCATACCCCATCCCGCGACCTCCATGTCACCTCCACCCCGTCCCCTCTCCTCCCTGCTTCTTCCCATCATTCGCCAAAAAGTTCGTTTTTCACCACCTCCTATACCTATCCCCTACCCATCCCCTCCTCTCCCCATCCATCCTTTCCCCATCGATCCTCTCCCTATCCCTCCTCTCGCCATCCCTCCTCTTCCAAACCCATAATTTTCTCATTCCCTCCTCTCCCCGCCCCTTTCCTCCATGTCTCCCATCTGCCGTACCTCACCTCCCTCTGTTCCTCGCATCCTCCATCCTCATTTCCTCCCTGCCACCCATTCTCCTCCTCACCTTCCTCCCCAGCCTCTCTTCCTCACCTCCCTTCTGCTTCTCTCCCCCACGTCCTCCCTACCTCCCTTCCTCCCATCATCACTTCCTCCCTTTATTCCTGCATTCCTCGCTTCTTCCCTTCCTTCGTTCCTCCCTTCCTCATTTGCCAGTTGTCATTGTTTTGCATGCTTGCTTCCCTTCTACTTCAGCCATGTCACATCTGACTTCCTGGTTTGTGTTTGTACAGGTCTGCTCTGCATCTTGTTGTGATGTGTTGGCTGTTTGATAGTAACTCGACGTACATGTCGAGAGAACAGTGCAGGAATGAATGAACTATGAATGAGTTGGGTACAAGTACTAACCCTTAAGTGTTGTACCCCTTGTAGGCTAACCCACTATAGCCTAGAGAGAACACAAACATATAGTTTGACACACCCCCATAGGCTAAGTGAGAGATAACAAACACAACAGACGGTCACAAGACCAGTCAAGCAAGAGAACAAAGCAAAACAAAGCTCAGGTTGGATCTCAATGATACCACACAACCTGAGCGCAAGTAAACGGCCACAAGGCCAGTTCTCATGCAGAGTTAAAATAGCAAGGCAGTACACTGATCACAACATAGCAAGAGTAAACAAGCAGGTATAAAGATATATATCAGTGTACAACAAGAGCAAGTCAAGCAATCAGCAGGTGAGGCATAGTAGGCACAAGCCCAAAAGCAGTGCAGAAACGCTGATGATCACCAGAACCAAGGGCCTTGGTGAACACATTAGCAGTGTTGGCCCGCGAGGCCACGTAGGAAAGGCGGAGCTGACGACCTTGCTGCAGCTCACGCGCAAGGAAGTAGCGAAAAGCAATGTGCTTTGTTCTATGCTCCAGTCTCTGCTCGTGACACAAGGCAAGCATTGCCTTGTTGTCGACGTACAGAACTGGAGGAGAACGAGGCCGCTCCCCCAAGTCGGTCAGCAGGTAGGTCAGCCAGCGTAGCTCCTGTGTAGCCATGGCCCCAGCGTAGATATCGGCCTCACAGCTGGAACTAAGCACAGAAGAAGAACGAGTGGACCTCCACGAGACAGAACCAGAGCCAAGACTGAAGGTGTAACCCTGTGACGAACGCTGAGTCGCCTGGTCGTCGGCCCAAGAAGCGTTGGAGTGTCCGGTGAGTACCACTGAACCCTGTCCTCCAAGCACGAGCCCCATGCCCGATGTACTACACAAGTAATGCAGTACCCTCTTCGCAGCATCCCGGTGCACCTTTCGGTGTCTACCGGGAGCCTCGTAGCGAGCCAGGTTGCTGAGAGGGTACGCGAGGTCAGGTCGTGTGCACGTCATCAGGTACATGAGGCAACCCACAAGCTCTGGGTACGAACCACTCGGCTCTACGGACTCGTCCGAAGGTGGAGCTGAGAGCGAGTGGCCGGTAGACAGAGGAGTGGGCTGTGGCGAGGAGAACTGGAAGCCGAAACGCTGAAGGACCTGGTGCACCATGTGTGACTGAGTCAGGGTGATGGTGCGCCGTGCTCTGTCCCGGGTGATCTGCAAGCCAAGATAGCTACGCATCTCACCCAGGTCAGTGCAGGTGTGTCTCTCCTGCAGTTCCGCCTTCACTAGGGCTAGCGCCTCAGTGTCAGGAGTAGCAAAAACCAAGTCGTCGACTTACACTAGAACGTAGAATGGCGGCAGGGTAGTGTCGGTGCCTAGAAACAGCGACGGGTCAGCAGAGGAAGGAGCAAACCCAAGAGCCGCAAGTGTAGTCCTCAGTGTGTCGTGCCACTCTCGGGGCACCTGGTGGAGACCGTAGACTGGCCGCCGGAGGCTCCACTGGGTACCCACAGGAAACGACCCAGTGAAGCCGGGTGGGCGGCGCAGCCATATCTCCTCGTGAAGGCTGCCCTGCAGGAAAGCTGTGGAGAAGTCGAGGGAGTGCAGCTCGTAGTCACGCTATGCTGCAACGTGCAGCAGCACCCGAAGAGTAGTCATCTTCGGGGTGGGGGAGAAGGTATGGAAGAAGTCGACCCCCTGTCACTGACTGAAGCCTCGAGCAACGTAACGCGCCTTGAAGGCAGGCGGAGAACCCGTCGGCCGCTTCACTCTGAAAATCCACATGCCATCGACTATGTTCACCCCAGGAGGAGGAACCTCGTCGACGTAGGTGCCTGTGGACTTCCAGGAAGCCATCTCTGCGTCCATGGCTGTCTGCCACTGAGAGGAGTACTCACCCGCAATCGCCTCAGCGTAAGAGCGCGGGGTAAGGATGTCAAGTGCATCCGGGTCTCCCTCAGGGCAAAGCAGCATGGATGCAAAACGAGGTACAGCGGCCACAAGACACTCAAGCTCAAACTGTCTGTCCTCAAGTACATCACTGCCAAGGGCAAGCTCACCCCTGAGGGACGGAGGACAGACATACTCAGAATCAGTGACAAGACTCGCGACGTAGTCAAGACGACTCCTAGCTGCAAAGTCGACTAGCTCAGTGACTAGGGCAAACGCTGCAGTAGACTCAAGGTCAAGGTCAGTGATGACAGTAGCGAGGAGACGAGTGACAGTAGGACTGGCAGCATGAGCAAGGTCAGACTCAGGGTCAGGAATGTGCGGAAGAGAGGACGTGGGAGGCTCAGGCAGGTTAACACGCTGTGGAACAGAGGAAGGACGAAGTGCCATATCGTGAGTGCCTGGGATAGCAGGAGGACGTGGACGGGCGACACGACGAGCACGAACAGGTGTGGAAGCACGAGTCTCAGGCTCACGACGCTCAGTCAGGGACTCAATCACCTCAGTGTGAGGAGCAGGCGCAGGCAGCTGTGGTTGAGACTGGTCTGTCGGTGGACAAAGGAGGGGGAGAGGGAGGCCAATGGAAGACGGGAGACTAAGAACCTAGCGAAGGACCGAGTCAGGCGGCGGCAGGGTCGACTGCGGCTGTGGGTAGAAAAACGGTATGCGCAGGGCAGTACCAGTAGCTCCAGCTCCTCCAGCATCAGCACCTCCAGCACCAGCAGCTCCAGCAGCACCTCCAGAACCTCCAGCACCAGCAGCACCACTAGCTCCGGCAGCGCCAGGACCTCTAGCACTAGTAGGACCTCCAGCACCTCCAGTGCCAGTAGCTCCAGTAGCACCTCCAGCACCTCCAACACCAGCAGCACCAGTGCTCCGGCAGCTCCAGTACCTGTAGTACGAGCACCTCCAGGACCAGCAGCTCTAGCACCTCCAGTACCTCCAGCTCTAGCGCCTCCAGCACCAGCTCCACCTCCAGCACCTCTAGTGCCAGCAGCTCTAGTAGCACCTCCAGCACCTCCAGCACCAGCAGTAGCACCTGCTCTGGCAGCTCCAGCACCTCCAGCACCAGCAGTACCTCCAGTACCTCCACTGCCAGCAGCTCCAGTAGCACCTCTAGCACTAACAGCACCACCAGCTCCGGCAGCTCCAGCACCTCTAGTACGAGCACCTCCAGGACCAGTAGCTCCAGCACCTCCAGTACCTCCAGCTCAAGCGACTCTAGCACCAGCAGCACCTCCAGCACCTCCAGCACCAGCTGTACCTCCAGGACTAGTAGGTCCAGCACCTGCAGCACCAGTAGCACCTCTAGGACTAGTAGCTCTGGCACCTCCAGCACCACCAGCACCTCTAGTACCTCCAGCACTAGCAGCACCTCCAGTACCTCCAGCACCAGCAGTACCTCCAGGACTAGCAGCTCCAGCACCAACAGGACCGTACCCTCCACCATCAGGACTGCCTCGCTGAACGATCCACGCACGAATCGCCTGCGGCGAGAGCGTCTCAAGTAGGTCAGGCTGCGGTGGCTGTCCAGCTCCAGGACCTCCAGTAGGGTAGCCCACAGCTCCACCGCCACTAGGACGCGCAGGACCCCCAGAGTCAGCACCCCCAGTCACAGCACCCCAAGAACCAGCACCCCTAGTCGCAGCACCCCCAGAACCCTCACCCTCTGTCTCAGCACCCCCAGGCTCAGCACTAGCAGTCTCAGCTCCAGAGTCCACAGTAGCAGGTTGCGGAGGCGGCAAAGACGGCCGAGGCGGAAAACCAGGGGGAGTCTCCAAGCGTGCAGAGCAGCGAGTGGCCGCCGTGTCGTCAGCGACAGGGTCAACCCCCTCAGCTAGGCCAGAGGAGTCAGAAGATATCTCCAAAGGCTCAACCAAGGGGGGTGGGTCTACCTGAAACACACCTGAGGGAGCAGGACCCTGTGGGAGAGGGGGTCTACCGGGGGGGGGGACTGGTACCAAGAAAAGAGGCGCTAGGGGGACCGGGTGGGACGCGCGTGGGTGTAGCCTGTAGTAACAGACAGACTCGTCAAAGGTGACGTCTTGGGAGGAGAAGACTCAACACGAGCGCGGGTGGTAAAATTGCCACGGCGGGGCGTCGGTGGGGAAGCCAAGGAAGACGCAGCGGAGAGTGCGAGAGGAGAGCTTGCTCGCTTTTGCATCGCGAACAAGGGAGAGCGCGCCCCAGACCCGAAACACCGACGCATCGCCAACCTTCCCCGTCCACCGGAGTGTGGGCGAGGTCTTTGGCTCAGAGACACGGGGCCAGAGGTTGAGCTGATGCGCAGCGTATCGGACCGCAAACGGCCACAGAAAATGGGGAGCAGCCGCATGGATCATGGAGGTACGGGCAACCTCCATGATCAAGCCAATGCGACGCTCAGCAATCCCATTCTGCTGAGGAGAGGCCGGAAGCGTGAACGATTGGACGATGCCCTCGTCTCGTCAGAACTCCGCAAGGAGGTCAGAAGAGAACTCACCGCCTCTGTCAGAGTGCAGACGCAAGACTGGGAAGTCCCGACTGAACCGCTCGCGCAGCTGGCGATAAGTAGCACGGATCTAGGGGATCAAAACACCGCTGACGTCCGCCTTGCGCCGCAAGGGGAAGACAGTGGTGTAACGTGTGTAGTCGTCAACAACCAGCAGGAAGTAGAGCTGCTGGTCCGTTTTACCGACGGGGGCTGGGCCCCAAACGTCCATGTGGAGAGTCTGCAGAGGAGCAGTGGTCGGAGGAAAGTCGGAGGAGTGAGGAGCGGCGCGCTGCCGCACCTCGACGCAGGGAAGGCACGGCGGGGCAGGCACGGCGGGGCAGGCAAGCGCGGGAGGGGGGGCACGGACCTAGGAAGGCCAGAGACAAGGAGACAGGAGTGCATACCGCGGAGACGCGGTAGGGAGGGGTGACCGAGGCGGTGGTGCCAGAGGAGAGTCTGGTGGGAGAGTACCCGACACGAGCAAGACGCTGCAAGCTGACCAGACACAGACACCTGACTCGACGCAGCCACCTGACCTG